CCCCCCCGCTCCTGCTGGCAACCCCCAGGACCCCAGGGCGGGTAGGTGGGTGGAGGTGGAGGAAGCAGGGGATGATAGGGGGAGGTGGAGTGGGGGCCAGGGGGGAGGAGGGAGGGCCCCTCCCTCCTCCCCCCTGCTCCCCCCCTCCCTGGGAGGGAGGGATGAGACGGCGAAAAGGGGTCGAGTGCATGAAAGGGGGAAGGAGGTGAGGGGTGGGAGCCGAGAGGAGGATTCCGATGATGATGATGCTGCTGATGATGATGAGGATGATAATGATGATGATGGTGGTGGTGTTGATTAATCTGATGGTGTTGATGATGATGCTGCTGGTGATGATGCTGATGTAATGCTGCGAATGGTGATGCTGGTGATGATGCTGATGATGCTGATGATGATGATGGTGATGATGGTGATGATGATGAGAAGATAAGAAAATAATAATGATAGGGATGATGAGCAGGAGGTGGGGAACAAACTAGTAACGCCATTAGAAAGTAGATAGGGCCCGTCTGTGCGTCCAGCTTGCACGCTGGGCGCCCCTCTTCAACCCCTGGACAACGTCCTCCTTCCAGGCCAGGGAAAGGTGGGCAAGGGAGGTCAGACCCGAGGTGGCATCGGTCAGCAGCGAGGTGTTGCAGGGTGTCATGGCCAAGATCGCCGAGCTGGGGGGGTCTTTCAGAACTGACGAGGACGGCCAGCGCACGTTCGAGGATGCCGTCGTTGCCGCTGCTTTAAAGCTGTACCCCCCCTCTCACGACAAAGTGTGCGCCGCCCTCGACACGCTGGCCACAGCGTCCAGCACGACCGCCCCTGGCGTCATTGCAGCTGGATCGTGCTTCGAGCAACTAGTGAAAGCAAACGTGAATCGCGAACTCATCTTGGCCCTTCGGATTGAGGTGGTCTCTTATTTGTGCAGCACCCTGGGCCAGATGGGATTCCTTGTCCAGCAGGAAGGCGCCAACAAGGCTTGCGTCTACATGTCCCCAAGCAAGGCGCAGCTGGGCCACATCACACTTGCGTAAGTTAAGCTGGAGGGTGGGTGGGGCCATCGAGGCAGGGGCCTTCCTCGCAATCATACCGGTGCGTCGGGTTCGATCGCAGACGTTGCTGGGTCCCTTCGCCGATTGATTACTGGCTCTCCTCCCCGCCCGTCCACGAGTTCCCCTCTCCTCGCACCTGCGCCTTAACATATCGCACTCATGCGCATCGGGGCGAGACCTTCCTGGACTCTGTCGCTCGCATCGTTCAGGGATTCAGGGATTGCTGCGATCGCGCCGACGCGCCGTGGGGTGACGCTGCATCGAGCACCCTGCCTGTCGGCCTGTCTGCCCGCCTGCCCGCCCCTAAGAGCAGTCAGAGCAGCGCCCCCCCCTGAGATGAGGGGCAGAAGAGGAGGGTAATAAGGTAATCCAACTGGCCGCGGCAAGTTCCGCCACTGCCAGCCGAGCGTTCTGAGCATTCTGGGTGGCGTCTGGTCGAGGGGGCACGGCGGGCCGTCAATTGTGACACCTCAAACCTCTTATCTCCAGGCTTGGGAGAGCCGTGATATTGCTGATGATGATATTGATGATGCTGATGATGATGCTGATGCTGCTGGTGATGGCGATGATGATGATGATGATGATGATGATGATGACAATGATGACGACGATGATGATGATGGTGATGATGCTGAGACTGATGATGATGATGCTGATGCTGATGATGATGGTGATGGTGATGATAATGGTGATGATGATGATGATGATGATGATGGTGATGATGCTGATGCTGATGCTGAGACTGATGATGATGATGCTGATGCTGATGGTGATGGTGATGATGATGGTGATGATGATGATGATGATGATGATGCTGGTGATGATGATGGTGGTTGTGGTACAGATAAATAATAATAGGTTGACGCTGACGTTTTGCTTCTCACGGTGAACATGGCGATGGCGATGACGATGATGACGACGATGCCGATTGTGGTGATGGTGACAAGGATGATATGCTTGTGAAATGATGAGGATGGTGGCAGTGAGGATGGCCACCATGATGATGATGATGATGATGATGATGATGATGATCATGATGCTGGTGGTGATTATCAAGATGATGGTGGTGATGATACTGATGTTGACCATGCTGATGACGAGTGCGATGATGTATAGGCTGAAGATGGGGAAAACGAGCAAAACACACGCCAATAACCTTGCGGTGGGAATGCTACCGAAAGAGGAGGCTCATGGCTGTCTATTGCTCTGCACGCGGCGGAGCCCACCTTTGACCCCACCTGAATTAGAAAACGGGCACGCCAGACATCTACACGTCGACCAGGGTGCATCTCTACTAGAACAGCGAGATAGCACGGCCACCCAATGTATAATCAGAACGGGACGAAGAGACACTGGCGAAATGAAGAACCATATCTGCGATGCGGCGGCCAACCCGCGCATCGCACACGCGACACAACATCCCACCAACGATCCCTCATCGCGATTCCTCCCCGCCCCGCTCCCCGCGGAGGTCGCTGACGCAACGCCGTCTGGACGACTGGTGGCCAGTGGCCAGGGCGAGCACAATGGGCTTGATGATGATGCTGATGATGATGATGCTGATGCTGATGAGGCTGACGGTGATGATGACGATGATGATGCTGACGATTATGTTCATGATGATGATGATGATGATGATGATGATGATGATGGTGGTGGTGGTGGTGATGAGGATGACGAACGGTGCTGATGCTAATGACCATGATGATGATGATGATGAGGAGGAGGAGGAGGAGGACGAGTATGGTGACGATGCTGATGAGGTTGCTGCTGCTGATGATGATGTTGTTGATGATGATGTTGATGATGATGCTGATGATGATGCTGATGATGATGATGAAGATTAAGATGAAGATGATGATGATGATGATGATGATGATGATGATGATGATGATGATGTATCTGCCACGCGGGAAGCGTACACCCCCCGAGCGGGCGCGCATGGAATGGGCGCTCAGGCATTCCGCGGGTAGGGGAGGGGGAGGAGGGAGGGGGGAGGAAGGATGAAGGAAGGAATGAGGAGGGAGGAGGGAGGAGGGAGAATGGAGGAGCGAGAAGGGAAAATGAAGGAGGGAGTCCGCAGGTAGGGAGGGGAGGGGGGCTTTACTCACAGTCATAAGGCTATATCAAACAGGCCTACCTTGGCATTCTTCCACGCCTCAGCGTTCTGCCAGGGGGCACGGTCTGGCAGAACGCCTTCTGACCAGGAGGCGTTCCCCTTCCCCCCCCCCCTATTGGGGGAATATGTTCGTCCTTCTGCCGCTGCCCTGCCCCCCGCCCGCTGCAATCCCAGGTGAAGTGCCTCGGGAAGATGGCCGAGAAAGCAGTCGCGCCGCCGAAGATCTTCACCGTCATGATGGCCTGCGGGGGGGGGATAGGGAGCGGCAGCGAAAGGGCCCGAATGGGCGGCCGTGGAGGCGGCTGCAATCGCAGCGCCTTCCTGTTAGAATCTGAGCGGCGCGCTGTGGCCGACGCACGTAGGAAATGAAGTGCGGAGAGCAACTGTGTGACGGCGCATGAGAGAGGGCCGCAACGTAAGATGAGGGTGGCAGCATCTCAGGGGCATGGGGCGCAGGCGCACCCCCGCAACCTGCAGTTCGGGGACGCGATGCGCGAGATGTTCGCCATCCTCCGCGAGCTGGACCAGACTTGCCCCCCATCTCAGGCGGCCGCGTTCGACGCGGAGTTCGCCCAGATCGAGGCGAAATTTCAGCAGGCGCACGGCCATGAACAGTTGAATAAGGCGAGGGGGGGAGGGCGAAACCTTGAGCGCCATTCGAGTCGGGTCTGCAGCCGGGGGGTCGCGCGAGAGGATGCGGCGCTGGGCGATGACATGGGGGGAGAGGGGATGGGCTGGAGAGGGAACGAGAGGACGAGCGAGTGCGGAGGGATAGCGAGGCAGGGCTTCGTTTGAAGACGGGGTGCGAGGTTTAAATAGGTGATGGCGGGGTGGATGACTGAGATGGGGGTGGGATACGACGGGAAGAAGGGGGCAGGTCATGCTGTAGCGTGCGGTCCTGCGTGCGCGTTGACAAAAACAATAATCTGCACGCCCTGAATACATCGATCCGCTTCGCGGTCGCCCGCTCCGCAGTCGGGCGGCTCTGGGAGCAGACCGCAGAACACTGATGTGCATGCGTGCGTTGATAGAGGCTTCCCGCAATATATACGTACGTAACGGCGAAGCAATGCATGCGCAAGTTTACGCACAGAAACTGGCTGGTGGCACTATGGAGATGAACACACATTGAGCTACACAACGATACAACTGTATATGTAGGTATGTCTACACATGCATATATACACGTACATATGAATGTGGCTGTCTATGTGTATACAAAGGGTATGCATGCTGTATATGCAGATGTTGAGACGTATAATGTTATAATGCTTGCGTGTGTTTACACATAGTCATGCGCGTACGCACGTGAATGGCACTGTGACAGGAGAGAGAGAGAGGAGAGACAGAGAGATAACTATACACCTGCACAGACACATACTTACACGTCTATTAATACATGCATGGGTGGAGTGTGCGCGAGAGAGGAGAACGAGATAGAGAGGGAGTGCGACAGGAAGCGGGAACGACATCTATATATACATAGTTGTATGCATAACGAACTACATACGTGTGTGTACGGAGAAATGGACACCTGTATATCTACATATAGACATAGCGTTTACTAGTCTATATGCATGCATCTACAAATGCATATGTATACAACGATTCACAACCTTGTATATACATATAGGGAAGAGAAACATACATAGAGAGGTTGACAACGAGAGAGGTAGAGAACGAGAGAGGGAGAGAGATGTCGCGAGAGAGTGAGGGAGAGATCGAGAGAAACAATAACACGAAACAGGGCGAGAAAGATCTATAGAGAGAGAGAGAGATAACATGAAGGAAGGATGGCTGGATGGAGGGACGAAGGGGGATGGAGGAGTGGTGTGTGTGTGGGTGGTGGTGAGGAATTGATCAGGCGAATGGAAGCAATTTTGGCGAGGGGGGGTTATGCGAGCGAGGGAAGGTATGCGAGGATTTCGGCATCAAGGGGGTCACGTTCGACCCGACCAACAGCCTCTTCGCGGGCGAGCGCACGAAGAGCATCGGCGCTGCCATCAACCAGTGGGTGGACACCAACTCCAGCGGGCGCCAGAGCAGCGCTTTTGCGGCCGACCCCTGGCTGGTGGTGAGCGGTAGGCTAGGAGAGAAGTACCCTGAGCCCACAAAGGCCAGCAGGGGGCTGCTCGCGGGGGGGGCATCGGCAGCATGGCAGCAGGGGCTAGGCTTCAGAAGAGTTGAGCATGATGCGAACGCCCCCCCAAGAGCGGGGGGGGCTGCATGTCGGCATGGAAAGCACGCGGCGAACAGGGGGTCTGGAACTATATGATTGGATATGGAGGGTTGTTGGGGCCCAGGCCGCGGCTCGCTGAGGGGCTGGGGGCTAGTCAGGATCCAGGATTGAAATCGCGAAGGTCTGAGCAAGAGGAGGTGGGGAAGGGTGAGCAGGGCGGGGGGAAGATGGGGGAAGGGAATGGGACGAAGAGTAAGTGAGTGGACTGAGTGGGAGCAGGAGAAGGATGGTAGGATGGGGGGAGAGACGGAGAGACAGAGAAGCAGTCGGGGGAGGAGTCCCAGAGAGGACGGTGGATGAAGCGAGGGGGAGCGAGAGTCAGGATGACTGACTGCCTTCCTCTCCCTGCGGTTGCTCCTTCTCCCCCTTCCAAGTGGCGCGGAGGGAATTGGGAGGTCGAGCAGATGATTAGTGGACCCGACGGTGCAAATACTGGGACTCAGCAGGGCGCGGGCTCGGACCCGAAAGAGCTTGCTATCTTCAGCATGCTTCAGTGGCGAGAGCACGTTACCAAGATGGAAGAAGAAGATGCTGATTGTGGATTCGCCACGCAAATATTCCGGAAGCAAGTCGGGGGGGAGGGGGAGCGGGCAG